GAGTCATATATTTCTACTATTTTTGATGACAATGCATCGGCAATTGCATGCACATCATTCAACACTTTAAAGCCATTCCAGTCTTCTATGATGTTCAATAGCATTAAAGTTACAAGGATTACCAACAGGGTGCAGCACTATTATTTCTTTTAAATTTATGACAACAGCTAATTTGCAACCAAAAGGTGAGTGAGCGTAGCGAACGAGCTAACCTGAAGGCAAGTGAGCGTAGCGAACGAGCTAACCTGAAGGCAAGTGAGTGCAGCGAACGAGTTCCAACCTAAAGGTGAGTGAGCGTAGCGAACGAACTTCAGTCAGGACGTGATTGAGCCATGCGAACGAGATCATCTTGAAAATTAAGAAGTTAAACGGGGCAAAGCCCGCGGGATTATAAATAGTCAAAGGCAAGACAACGTCTGCCGGGTTCAGCTAGTTATATATATAGATAGATTTTTATTGTTTGAATTATACAAACCAAGAGTTGCACATGGTAGGGACTTAAACGTGAGGTCTGTCCAAAAAGCACATTTGTCTGTTATATGCAGCGTCCCTTCGACCCTTGTCGGGGCTGTAGCTACCTGCCGGGGAGAGAAAGCTCGCACCCCAACAAACATTCTTTCATTCTTTGTTTAGGTTTCAATGAACTCCAACTCTTGATTCTCTTGTTCCGTTAACACGTGTCGCTTCTGTGGTGTAATGAAGCCCACGAGGCTTTGCACCCCCTTCCCCTGTGGGCACCCAGTGTTGTATAGTGGGTGTTTGAGGGCATTTGTCTCCCAACAATTATTTTCTATTAATGGAGACGGTACTCAAGTACGAGTACCGATAACGTGCCCGGCATGTCATGCCATTGTGGACCAAACAGTTAGGTTTTTTTTAATTAAACGAATTGATGTTTTAAATATTTTAATTTGCCCAATTATAATCTAACTGCTTCCATAATCTATGTTATTTAAATTTTACATACAGTCACTCACATATAAATACGGAAAACACTATATTCTGTAATATTATTCGTTAAGCATCTACATGCTGAAGCAACACTCTTTCCCATTTTGAAATGCATAATCCCATATGTATAATAATGTGTTTATCTTATGAAGGCGGCTAAGGGATGAAAGCGTCCTAAAATAGTCTACTAGGCTAGAAACTTATTATCTTGCATTTGCTTTAAATTGATTTTGTACATATTGTATAGTTTTGTATTAAATTGTTTTAAAACGCGGAAAGTCTAATGTCATAGAAATAAATTGTTTTACGTTTCTTTTGCATTTATTGAGTGTATACATTGTATAGTTTCATAACAAAGTGCGTATCGAAATTTTCCTCCGATTTTAATATTTTTTTATATACCTTTCCTAAGAAACCTAACAAAAGTCTAAGGATCGAATTGGCATAATGCGGTTGTGCGAAAAGCCGTGGAACGATTAATAATTATAAAACAAATTGTATTGCATTTAATTTGTTTGGTATTGAACGAGATTTATATCTTGGTACCTTGTATATTTATATAAGGTAAAAGCTATGTTCAAGTTGACCTGATGCATGTTGAAATTATTTATTTGTTTATTTATTTATTCCAACGGCAATATCACCAATTTACAATGTGGATTCAAGAAGCCTATGTGGTAACAACATGCATTTTAACAGAAAACTTAACAACTAACTTAAATCTATGGAAGGAGCAGAGCAACATTGGTGACAGGAAATATAATCTTAACTAGGAAAGCAATAATTTAACAATAAAGTTCAAAATAATTGTGTAAAAGCAATAACAAAGGTTTGGACTGACAATACAGTTAAACAATCGATCAGCAAAAACAAGGCAAATCTTTGGCTAGGAAAGCTATAATATAACAATGACGTCGAAATAGAATTAATTCATGAAATTCATTCATTAATAGTTAATGTATTTTAGTGAATGATTCTTATAAGCGGCAAGGCAACGGCTTGGTTACGGGACCATTATAGATTATATTTTGGGATCTTAAAAAGAATGTAAAATATACACACTACATGAATATAAATATAAACGACTGGTGTTTGTTACTTTTAAGACCCCTAAAATGAAAAACTTGAAAATTGTTCCCCGCCTAGGTCTTACTGTAACGCCTACGGTAAAAGCTTCTTGCTTTTGGAGAAATTCGCAAAAATTTTGATATTAAATACCAGTTTTATTCAGCATTAGAAGGATTTCCTCTGCAATGAGTTATTATCCTACAAAAATAGTAGCACTTCGGCTAACAACCTCGTTCATTGTTTGTATGAATCTTTGTAGGTTTCCTTCATTATATAGGCTAATTATTTTGCCTACTAGCTCACAGTCTCTCCGTCTATCACTTATCATGCAATGTTCATAAGGATTTTTTCAAGGTCCTCCAGTAATTAAAATAAGTAAAAATAGTTTTTTATTCCAGACCACATTACTGTTATTGATATGTTATAATCTAAAACCTCTCACCACCTAGGTAGTTGTGATGCAAGTCGTTGAATATTATAATTATTTTCTCTATTAGCTCAACGTCTCTCCGTCTATCACTTATCATGCAATGTTCATAAGGATTTTTTCAAGGTCCTCCAGTAATTAAAATAAGTAAAAATAGTTTTTTATTCCAGACCACATTACTGTTATTGATATGTTATAATCTAAAACCTCTCACCACCTAGGTAGTTGTGATGCAAGTCGTTGAATATTATAATTATTTTCTCTATTAGCTCAACGTCTCTCCGTCTATCACTTATCACGCCATGTTCAGCAGGATTTTTTCAAGGTCCTCCAGTAATTAAAATAAGTTAAAATAGTTTTATATTCTAGTCCCTATTACTGTAATTGATATGTTATAATCTAACACCTCTCACCACCTAGGTAGTTGTGATGCAAGTCGTTGAATATTAGAATTATTTTTGCCTACTAGCTCACAGTCTCTCCGTCTATCACTTATCATGCCATGTTCAGCAGGATTTTTTCAAGGTCCTCCAGTAATTAAAATAAGTAAAAATAGTTTTATATTCCAGTCCATATTACTGTAATTGATATGTTATAATCTAACACCTCTCACCACCTAGGTAGTTGTGATGCAAGTCGTTGAATATTAGAATTATTTTCTTTATTAGCTCACCGTCTCTCCGTCTATCACTAATCACGCCATGTTCAGCAGGATTTTTTCAAGGTCCTCCTCCTCCAGTAATTAAAATAAGTAAAAATAGTTTTATATTCCAGTCCATATTACTGTAATGGATATGTTATAATGTAAACCTCTCACCACCTAGGTAGTTGTGATGCAAGTAGTTGAATATTAGAATTATTTTCTCTATTAGCTCACCATCTCTCCGTCTATCACTTATCACGCCAAGCTCGGTAGGTTTTGTGAAAGCTCCTATATGAATTGGTCTGATACAAAAATATTGTGCTTATATCATTTTGAACAAAATTTAACATGTCCGAGTTTTGATACAAAAATATTGTGCTTATATCATTTTGAACAAAATTTAACATGTCCGAGTTTGAAGGATAACAGTTACTTTTTTGATATAACATTTACTGGAACCATATATATTTTTCAAAACTTATTGCCTTGTTGCCAGAGAAGTTTTAAATACTAGCCGTTAGCAAGGAAGTCAAGGACGCTATATAATACATTTTTTTAAATTTATTTCTTACATTTATTTTATAATTAAATTATATATTTAATGAAGATAATTGATTCATCAATTGATTATTCTTTATAGTTAGTTTTAAGACGCTTTTTTAAGATGATTGGAAATAATTACTGCGGTGTGGCGGAGATTATAAAAAAAAAAAAAAAACTTTAGCAAATCTGCAAACTAAGCGAATTCCCATTTACCCGGCTTGATTTCTTAAAATATTCCCTACAAATAGTCAGATTTATTCAATTTTTAAATAACATTAATTTCAGTGAGTAGGTTTGCTGCTACTGCTATGGGGAAGATAACAACAACAGTCATGGGAATTTTAAATTTATATATTTATTTATTATCTCCGTAACCGTTGGGCATACAACAACGCTTTAATATACACAATTATTTCTTTTTTAAGCTCTACAAAATGGTTTGGAGAGAAATCTTGAAACTTTGTGTTTTTTGGGTTAAAAAAATGGAAAAATTAATTTTTACTCCATAGTATATATCCCCGTTTCCATAGTTTGATTATGCTGGTTCGTGAACTCGTTCGAATAAAACGTAGGTTTACACGTTTGTACCAGAATTTCATCAAAATCTGATCATATATAAATATAGGCTATAACGAATTTGAACGGATGGTGTTTTTGGCCTCTGGGGACGTCAAAACGAAAAAGTAAATCGGTCCTGGATCTAGTCTTACCTTGAGATCTACGGTAATAGCTTTATTAGCTTATTCCCTATATGGGAAATTTGCTAAAAGCCAGGTCTTATTTTGAGCTTTATATATTTGAATCACTTATGTATCTCTAGCACCCTCCCAAACATTAATCAAGGGCGTTTACCTGAAATAGGAATGTTCTCCAAAGGTTCGGGCGCATACTTTAGAGCTGATTTTTCCCTAACCCTCCATAACATTACGCAGGTTTACTAATCTGCCATTGGAATGATCTCCGAAAGTTCGGGTGCTTACATAAAAAATATTTAGTTTGAGCTAATTTCTAATAATCTCTACTGCGTGTGTGAAGTTATGTTGGCAAGCTCAACGCCTTTACTAAAACACCAGGTCAAATTTAACCAAAATAAATAAAATAAATAAATAATAAGTAATAATCAACGAAATAGATGGTAACAGTTAGTAAAAAGTACATTATATCGTCACTGACATAATTATACACACACACATAGTATTTTCAAAGGTATCGTTATTCTACTCAGAGTCTATATAGATAGAGGTGGAGGTCTACTTGATTTTGGTTTCAGCTCTGTTTGCCCTCGGCCTGTCGTAAATCATAGGGGCAAAAAACCAGGTCGTCAGATAGGTTCGTCAGCTAAATTCAGCCTGTCTTTAAGCTGTGTTTTTTTTTATAATTTGAGGTTTTATCGAAGTATCGTATGTTTTGAAGTCGGATTTAAGTGTATAAAAGAGTGTTAATTGTTATGCGTTCTACCGTGCCATCCCCGTGCACCCTTGTAAGTTAAAGCATGGTTAAAGTTAGTTTTTATACTGTAGGCCTAATCTTTAAAAGTGTTAGTTGTGTTTTGTTCCAAGTGTTGTCCAAATAAAACAAGGGGTAAATATGCATTTTAGGGTTTGCACGCGATTTTTGAAATTTTTTTTTTCATTCTACTCGAAATTTAACGCTGATTCCGAAAATGACGTTCTTTTTCCGCGGAAAACGACCATAACGCGGAAAAACGACCAAAACGACCAAAAACTCTTTTTTTACCAAAACACGTCATGTGGGTACTCAAATTAACCGTAATATTAAGCAGATCACGACTATGCAAGAATTTTTTGGATCCGAGGTCAAATAAGCGAGATTTTCACTTAAATATGCGATGCTATTTTGGATTTTTGCTCTAACTTTTGTCTGTGTTAAAATACCAGCTGATCAGGATCAGCTGGTCATTATTTTATTATAATTGTTTATGTTTTAATTTAACAGGTAAAAGGGATGATACTATGCATAACCTAACTTAACCTAACCTACCCTAACCTAACCAACCTAACCAAACCTAACCTAACCAACCTAACCAACCTAACCTAACCTAACCAACCTAACCTAACCTAACCAACCTAACCTAACCAAACAGACCTAACCTAACCCTAACCTAACCTAACCTAATCAACCTAACCTAACCTAACCAACCTAACCTAACCAACCTAACCTAACCAACCTAACCTAATCTAACCTAACCTAACCTAATCAATCTAACCTAACCTAACCTAATCAATCTAACCTAACCTAACCTAACCAACCTAACCTAACCTAACCTAACCTAATCAATCTAACCTAACCTAACCTAATCAATCTAACCTAACCTAACCAACCTAACCTAACCTAACCAAACCTAACCAAAATAACCTAACCAACCTAACCTAACCTAACCAACCTAACCTAACCTAACCTAACCTAACCAACCTAACCTAACCAACCTAACCTAACCTAACCAACCTAACCAAACCTAACCTAACCAACCACACCAACCTAACCTAACCTAACTAACCTAACCTAACCAACCTAACCTAACCAACCTAACCTAACCTAACCAACCTAACCTAACCTAACCAACCTAACCTAACCTAACCAACCTAACCTAACCTAACCTAACGAGCAACATGGCAGTGCTACTACAACCAATGAATAGGTTGGTACTGAAAAATTTCCCAATTTCAAGCATATCTCCCATAATTCTCCCGACTAATTACCCATTATTTTTTACACATTAAATTACAACGATAAACCACGTTAGATGTCTCCCCCACCCAAAACCCCGAATTCCCACCTGTCCCCTAGTGAGTTGGAGTTATTGCTGGTAGTATCACGTTTTCGTGAATATCTCGCTTATTTGACCTCGGATCCAAAAAATTCTTGCATAGTCGTGATCTGCTAAATATTCCGGTTAATTTGAGTACCCACATGACGTGTTTTGGTAAAAAAAGAGTTTTTGGTCGTTTTGGTCGTTTTTCCGCGTTATGGTCGGAATCAGCGTTAAATTTCGAGTAGAATGAAAAAAAAATTTTCAAAAATCGCGTGCAAACCCTAAAATGCATATTAACCCAACAAAGATACAGTTTCTTAACTGGGCTACACTAATATCGATTGAAACTATCGATTCGATTAGTAAACTGCGATTTTTTCACCATCAACAAGTTTGGTTAGGCCTAGTTAGGTTAGGTTATGATAGATTAATTTTATAATAGACATTAAGTTATATTTTAAAATATCTATTATTAATCAATATTTCAATTCGATAGTTCCAATCGATATTAGCGTAGCCCAGTTAAGAAACTGTTGTACAGCTCGGCCAAAACTTCTGTGCGCGTGGACGGGTCGCTACTAGCGGAACTAAAACATACGGGCACCGGCTATTGGCAGTGCTGGGGGTAGTGGTGAGTGAGTAGCAAGACACAAATGTTTTCACAAAAGTACCCCCACCAACCCTCTCGCCTAAGTTAGACTCAACCAGATCTGGTCGCGCGCACAGAAACTTTGGCCAACCTGTACCCCTGTAGGGTCACACAGTTAGGACATGGTTAGGACCATGTCAGGACGAATCTTATAATTATATAAGAACTGTCTAGGCTGTGTGGTAAAAGGCACTTACAAAATAAGTTACCAAGCGGTGTAACTTTCATATTAGAAACCCTTGGGTGAGTTGTATAAAGGCCTAATCTTTAGGTTGACACATTTAAACCTATAGCCTGTAAACCATTAACTGTTTGGAAAAAAGTCTATGCCGTATACTAAATATGGTCCTTAAGCCAATTAAAGGTGTAGGCTAACTAACTAACATTTAAATAACTTAGGCCTTGGCTAGGCTTTGCATTACCCTGGCGTAGGCCAAGGCAAGGTTCCGCTATCGATAGACAGGCCTACACTATAGTACCCTATTAGGTTACTATATTATATTGGGTCTCTCACTCTTTGGCAGTTTCCTGTTAAAGGGAACATTCATTATTATCGATGATTTCTTTTCGATATAAGCTTATCAATATTTTTGTTTTACTTGACGATTCATAACTTATTCCTTCTGTTATCTTCAAACACATTTAAATTATCTACTAATTTAAAAGTAGACCAAACCTTGTTTAGGCAAACATTTAATAGCCTATTTTAATGGATTATAAAATCGAACTAAGCTAATCTAACCTAAGTTATAACATAACTAACCAAACTTGCTGTATAGGCTATGTTACCGTTTCAAAATTCCGTTTAATAACAGAAAAGGAATGGGGAATGGCTGTTTAACAGACAGAAAAATAAAATTTTGGTATTCGAAAAGAAATGATCTACCTATAATAAATGTTCCCTTTAACAGGAAAGTACCCATTCTTTACATTATACCATAGACAAAAAGAATTAAATATAGACCATCAGCTGTGCTGCAGTTACCATAGGTTCTGGCGCACACCGCTTGGAGCACCACGGTAGTTACGGCGTACGCGCTACGTAAACTACAGCGGTGTGCGCCGGAACCTATGGTAACCATGGCAACCGCAGCACGGCTGGTATAGTCTAAATAAAATTCTTTTTGTCTATTATTATACTTGCTACTCATACACACATATAGTCTCTAACTTAATAAGAATGCTGTAACCTTTTGAAAGAGGCATTTCCTCGCGCTGTTGTAATAGTCAGAGTATTAAAACATCGTTTGTTTAGTTTAAATAGCGGTTTGTTTGAAATTATTTAGAGTAACATGGCCATGAGAAACATGCTATTTGAAACTCCAACGACAGGAAAATATACGTTAAGTTTTATAAACGATTAAATTGTAGGCTAGTTATTTGTAGCGGCCAAAAACTGATGTCCCGTTACCTACTTTTAGGAATAAACAATCTGTCCTCTACTTAGTGATGTAAAAATCATTATACAGCTTGTTATGGTCATATTATTATAAAGATCAAAATAACTAGGCCTACAATTTATTCTTTAGTTGGGGTAATTTTGATGAAACAAATAACAATACATTTACAGTCTTCATTTTATGCTAGAATGTTTTTCTATAAACAATGTAGGCTATTAAGAACTGCAGTAAAGTCCTTTAGAGAACCTGCAATATCAGTACCTTCAATACCTTCAATATATTGGGTGAAATAACAGTTCGTTATACAAATAGTACTTTATATTATTCCCTGCAATATAAATTCCGATTTTTGTTTTGAGTATTAAAGGTACTGTATCGTGATATGAATATTTAAAGCCATAGATTCTTTTCAAATAGACTTTCACACTGTGCTGTGGTGGTTAAACAAGGTTAGTTCAGTGTGGTTTAGTTTATGTTAATAAAAACCAGGTAACACCTAAATAAATACAAATTGTTCCAATAGCATCATCATTGGGTTGGGTTAGTGTTGTACAGTTTTCTATCAAAACTGATTGTCAAAAGCGCCAAATTATACCTAGTCGTGTCTTTTCATGAGTAACTTAACTTATAGAAAAAAGCTAAACGTTTTGTTAATGATACCTTGTTTGTTTATAAACTATAGGCCTACCACTTTCAAAAGAACCTGCGCAGAACCATGGCTGTCTCGCGCATGTAGGGGTGAAGGGTGATGGTGGGGAAGGGCCTGGAGCAGTGGTGGGGATAAGTCGTTGGGGCGAGGTATCTTTCCCCACCATTCTGACTCTCCTGCTGTCCTGCATGCACGACTCATACAGGTGCGTGGCTTTTTTCTATGTGGTAGGCCTATAAGCTAACATAACCTAAACGCCGCAATGGTCTGTAAAAGATTGGCGGGTGGTCCTCTTTTTAAAAAGACCCATAGGCTAACAGATTAATACGCAGGCCTATTTCTTAATCAATATATTTTATATAAATTTGAAGCTATTGTCAGTAGGCCTATTAATTTATAGAAACTGAAAATTTGATAGGATAGTATAATACATTAAAGTTTCTCTGCAGAACTTTACCCCATAACATTGCTGTAGCAGTGCAATGTAATTTTCAGAATCAGTCTTCTTCGCTTTGTATTTAGGCTAAGTAAAATTGATTTTCCTTGCTGCATATTAGGGAACATGATTACTATGTTTAATAGCCATTATAAGGTACAGTAGACTCCCTCTTATTCGGACACCTTTTAACCTGACATCGGTTAAACCAGACAACACTCGGTGGAAATTACATCTCTCTGCCTATTTTGCTAGGAGCGACTGTAGCGATAATCGCACAGCGATTATCGCTCATCTACTATAGCTGACAAGGCGGCCGTTTTTCTTAGAGCGATTGATTTTCGGTCGCACAGCAATTTTTCATAGTTAGTTAAATATCAGCACTCACAATGGTGAAGTCATGAGTGCGAATTGTAAGTCATTAAAGCGTCTCCTCGGTGAGGATTTAGGAGACGAGGCTCCACTCGACCCTTGTGGAAGTATCAATGGACGATGGATTGAAAATACATAGTAATACGTAGGATTAGGGACGGATACGTATCACTAGAGGTCACTAGATAGGACATAAATAGAAAACTGTAGTGATATCAATGAAAAAATATATTTATATAAATACAAAAATAGTGATATCAATAAGAGTACATGAATGTCGGAAAATAAAACCTGGAGTCTAAATTTAAAAAAAAATATTCATACAAAAACTGACACAGTATTAACGCCCACACTACGTAAATAACACATAACAACTTGGAACAGTCAAGCATTTTATTTTTAATAAATTTGAATAGACGTAAATAACCTTAACAAATTTAAACAAGTCGCCTGTTTCTACTAAAATTTAATTTAGAAAATGAAATTAATGTGTAATGAAATAGAACCAAAACAGTAGAATCGTAACAGCACATGAATAGAAAAATTAATGTAAACAAAAAAGTAAATTATGGTTAATTTAACCCCTACTGAGTGAACTGCACTGTTTTGAGGTTCTGCGCATCAGTCGCGGAGCGATTATCGCTCAGACTGGTCCCCGGGGCAGTGGTCCACGACTGTAGCTAGCGACTCTTGCGATAATCGCTCCAAGCAAAACAGGACAACGCAAACTCCGTCAGAGCAGTGCCCGATTATCGCCACACGACTATCGCTGAAATCGCTCCAAGCAAAATAGGCCTTTAACCGGGCAATTTTTATCAGCACATCGGTTTAACCGGACTAGGTCGACAGGAAGTGGGAGGTAAGCGTTACTGAAATGACTGTTCTTGTGTTAAGGATATGAGAACAGTGATTATGCTCTACTACATTTTAGTCAAATACTTTATATACAGTATGCATTTAAACGGTCAGTTTTAATGAGTTTATGGGACGTCAGTTTAACGAGAAAACCCATTATCCGGACTGACCTCGGTCCCGAGAGTCTGGATAAGAGGGAGTCTATTGTACTGTACATTTTACTATGTTATAGTGGCACGAATAAAAAAATAACAGCCAAAACTTCATGCAATAACCCCATAGTACCACATACAATATGTTTACTAGTGTGAACTACGCTGTAGGCTTCACATTGAATGTGTTGCCCATGTTTATTAAATTAACCTAAAACCGAGTTTTTTTGTTACAGAGTCATTGATTGAGGTGCTGGTGAACTGATTGAAGACTTAAAAGAGTGAAAATTTAAAAACGTACGTTTTCAGGAAAAGCACTTTGCAATTTTTTTCCCCTTTTTTCAAAACTCTTATTATTTTTTTTATTTCATTAACATTTGAAGTTTCATAAAATGTCCATGGTAACACAATATCTTTGGTAGTTTTTTTTTTTAAAGAGCATTTTTAGTGGAAAAACACAAAATCCTGTCACGACCATAACAGACGTTTAAATTAATATTAAAAATAGTTAATACTATTTTTATAACTATGTTTTGCTATAAACTAATTTACTTTTATGACCATTATACAATAAAAAGGTCACTGAGCTTTTGGTATATTTGGTCTTTCTAGAAAAAAATAAAAAAACTCAAAAAATTGAAAAAAAGCCAATAAAATCTTTTTAAGTTTGTATAACTACGAAAAAACTTACCTGAGACCCGAAAAATCGTTATGTTTGTATAGAGGTTTGCTTCTTTTGTGTATAAAACATTGAAATATGACGATATTTTAATTTTTGAAATTTTTATGATAGAAATCATAAACGTGATGGTCAGGGACAAGCGGTACGGTCGTGAATTTTCTGAAATAATCTAAATCTTTCTAAACAATCCTTCAATTATACTGTTAGTTATAATAAAAATATGTGTTTCAATTGAACTAAACTGTTCAATTTACAATTATATTAAAGTTATTGTCACGACCAAACACACTATAATCCATAAGGCTGGATTGGTCGTGAAAAAACCCGCGATGGTCGTGAAACTTTGGTCGTGAAATTACGTGTTATTTGGCTCTGTTCTGATGGTAGCCCTGCACCTCATGTTCGAGGATACAAAGTGGACATCTAGGTTAATCTAGCAATTGAAATATCTTATAAAAAAAAATTAACACCATGTCTACTTCATCGAATGACTACGTACGGTCATGGACACACCAAAATTACAAAAAAACACAATCTTTCCTTTATTAATCTTGTAATTCCTCCTTTCAACTCGAAACGACCGGCACTACAATCCTGACGTACACCCCGAACTAGTCTCTAAAACCAATTGACTCCATCGACGCCAGGCTTGCCACTGTCGTGCTCCAAAGTTGAAAATTTTTCCCAAATGGTCGTGACGCCAAATCGAGGGACAGACTTATTTTGTCATGGTAGTCAGTTTGCAATGACAATAAAATTATAATATGCTCCTTTTTTGTAAGTTTAATAACCATTGATGACATAAAAATATGGCTTTATATATTTCGGCATGAATAATTAGTCTAAAAACAGTGTGAAAGTTGGAAAATGTACCCTAGGGACACGCCATGGTCGTGAATTTCGAGACTTTGAAAATACGAAAAAAATACCTAGAAGCTATTTAAAACCAAATAAATGTGTGTAACATGTTGCTCCCGTCCCAAAAAATATTAAAACACATAATATTAAACTACAAATCCAGTATCTACGAAGTAAAAGGCCAGGGACATGAAAACGTACGTTTTTAAATTTTCACTCAAAAATGTTTTGTTATTAGTGTGAGGTGTGATAGTACGGACTGTTGTGATAAATTACCACTGTTTATGATTTACTTTATATGTTTTAAAATAAATGTTCTACATAAACTATTAAAATTGAATGATCATTTACAATGCCACTATTTCCAGCTGTAATATTTTTTTTATACTTCTTTTAATTATTTTTTACTTTGTTTCTAAACATAAGTTCTGATGTAGTCAATATTTGCATAATATGCACTTTCAAAAATATAAAATAGTAAACACAACAGCTTTTTATATACCATTGTTATTATTTATTGGTGTTTTTGTATTGCAATCGTTAAGTTGCATGCGTAGTTGCAGATGCATTGGTCTGTTTAAATGTATAAAGGAACTAAAATAAAATCTGAAAATTCAAGACTAACATAAAGATTATTCAAACAAGGTTGAAGTATGTAAAAAATTCCAAAAACTATTATTTTGAATTTGGTAAGTTTAATTTGATACCAAATATCGTTGACCTTATTTCCTATATTTTCTCTGGATGGTATTTCAATTTATTTTATAGTTGCAATGATTCTGCTCCACTCAAATTCCAGGGCATGGACTGCAATCAATATCTGCCAACATCAAATTCGAGAAAATCTAAAAATTTGTTAACTCACTTGTATATACCGTATAACATTTAAATACAACACGAAAAATAATAGGATTTCCTGGAATTTTTCTAAAATGTTTGAGATCATTCTCAACTTCCCAGGCAATTTCCTTGAATATACTCAGATCATTCATAAAAAATATTCTAAGAAAATTTTTATATGGCCTAGAAATCTGGAGAACATTCTCAGAATATTCTGGAAAAGTACTCTGGAATATCCATGGTAAGTATATTCTGAACATATGAAGTTTAAATTATTAATTTTGTCAAGTATGACAAAATAACTTGAAAAATACAAAAAAACAATGTTTTTAGGGTAAAAAATGGGAAAACTCAATTTTTAGTCCATTCCCATAGTTAGTTGAGCGTAGCTCTTTGGGATCAACTTCAATGCAACAAATAAAGCAACATCACTCAATAACGGCAGAACACATTTCAGCTAAACTTAACAAGATTACTTAGACTAATAGTGAGATGGTTAATAAACAAACAAATTTCAATTAGATAATGCTAATGCAATTTAAAACGAACTTAAAATTTCCAAATTTTAACATTAGGCTTATGGGACTAAAGGGGGACGCGCCAAGGTCCGCGGCCAACAAGATCTACGACCACCAACCTGACCTACGATTGGTGGTGCGAAATGTCCGAGCTGAACCAGTTCCGTGACGGGTGAAGGGGATGTAGTCGTGTTTGCTGCCGGTAGACCTTGTTGCCAGTGGCCAACGCATCTATTAGGCTGGTGCGGTCAGGACAAAGTCTCCTTTACATAACTAATATGCATTTGTTTATTGATACTATCATTATTATAGTATTTAAATGGGATAAGAGTAAGACTAATACAAAAGTAACCCGTGCTATATATTTGTATAGCATTTTTGCTACTAAGATAAATAAATCTGGTTTATGCTTATTTTCTTAGAATAAAAAAAATCCTTTTGTATTTTTTGAAGTTAATTACCCTTTTCGAAACCCTCCTATAGTAGGTGAATAATTTACTTTAAACTTTGTAATGTTAAATAAATATTTTAAATTCAGAACGATAATTAAACTTTTGGCCAGAAGATATCATAATAAGTTTTATTTTAAAAAAAGTCAACTTAAATTTTTGGGGAATGCTATTATTGTATTAATTGTAATAATTCTTACTACACTTATATTAACAATTGAGTTATTTGATTTTACAAGGAAATCAATGTAAAAATAAAGCTTGTTATACATAGCCGGCACTTATTGTATATGTATGGCTGAGTACCATACGAAACAACGCCTGCAAAAACTAGTATACCTTTTGCAAACTCCGCCGTATTGTGGGATGATAGGAACGCCTTTTCCATTCATTTAATCAATGGATTGTTAATCTTTGTTGCTTTTAATAATATTTTATTTATGCGCTGCTATGTTGTAGTTTTGTAAAATTTTTCAAAATGACATCATATTTTCAATTATTGTATAGTACTAGAGAACCCGTGAGGCTCAATGAGCCGCATAGTATGAAACATAACGCCAAGAAAAACATTAAGCTTAAATTCGAATAGTTTTAGTTACATCTTAGAGTTGTTTGAAAACTTTTTAGAAACTAATTTTAAATATTTCTATTTGCGTCGTCAAGGCTCACTTACATTACCGGTATTTCTGCTCTCAGTTTTAACTGATGACTTCTAATGAATGCTAAACGATCTGCTTCAATTCGAGGTAACATGCTGCAACAAAGTGTTTCCAGAATCGAGAACTTAAGAAAACCTTATATGCCTTACTGATAACCTGTGTTAAGTGATTGAAGTCGAGTCATTTTATTTCTTTGATTTGAGACATACACCAACCTACTCAAACGAATTTTCTCCGTAGAGAATCCTGAAAAATGGGGTGATATCAATCATTTCATGTGCTACATGTTTTAACACAGAATACAGTACCTAATACAAAAAAATCACACTTATTTTAATAAGGAAATAAATTGAAAGAATAACAAACAAATAAGTATGTACAGCTAAGGTATTTTTAACATTAGGTATATGGAAAGTTCGCTTTAGAAATGAATTACGACCCTAAAGGGCAATTTACGAAATAATGGATAGTTTGGATAGTAATGGAAGTTTGACAGTTTAACAGTTTGCTACAAACACTTGGTTGAAAGAAACATTTACTACAAGTGTACATGTTGCTCGAAATCGAGCAATTGCGAAGAAGTAAAGTACGGTAGTTGTTTAAAAACAAATAACTTATTTAAAACCTAATAAAAGTCATAATTTCCGATGAGTTTAAAAGACTCAACTCATAGATCACGTACCTAACAGTTCCATATAATCAACATTTCTTGTATATATTTTATCATTTTTCAAAAGCTGATCTAGTTTTTTAGTGTATTCTACAAATATTTCCCACTTATAGCCGCATTAGGTTGTCCATGTTGATCTTCGTCAATGATAATGTAGTCTGCATGCTACTACCCATTGTTGCCAGTACGTTTACAAATTTCTGTAATTTTTTTACAACGATAACATTTTGTTTACATTACTTAAGAACTGCCTGATTTTCTGCATAACCTCTCCATCACAATTGTATTTGCATCAATTGGCAATAATTTGGCTAGTTACTGTTATAACGTATGTTATATAATTGAGTACACGTATTATACTCAATGGATAAATTTACCAGAAAAAATGCAGAATTGAAAAACCTAATATTGTTCAGATGGTTTTTTTGTTTCCCTTAAATGTGAATAATGCAAATCCTTCAATGAAAGTTTTATTAAAGTTTTTGAAAGTAGTCATATTATTTTAAAATCTCTTAACTTTTAATAAGACATATATTAAAGTCCTTGCCGTAACAGTTTAATTCAGCCTTAGAGTGTTTTCCTTTGCCAATAATCATAAAGTTAAGTCCGTGTTTCCTACAAAATAGTAACACTTCGACTAACATCCTTGTTCATTTTTT